AACATGTTTTCCTTTGCTTTTTTTTCTCTCATCTCCCCATTGTAAATGTAAGCATATTATATTCCAACCATCAGTTAAATTTATAAAACAGAAAAAATCACAAATATAAATTTTTTTTTTTTTTTTGGTAATCGTTTTGTCGAAATTTTTGATGAATGATTTACAAAAACCTTTAGTGGTCAGTATTTCAGCATTTTAACTTTTCTTTTCAAAGATATTTTCAGTGTTCCTTTAACAATTATTTTCACTGACTTGTTTAATTGGTACAGCTAACGAAGTCGTTGCCAGGCAGACTGTGATTGGTAATATAATGCAGAGACCCGCTAGTCATTCATTCATCTAAAGGGGTGTCAGTTTGTATTGTGTCGACATTGTCAACGGCGACCACTAGTGCTCTGTATTACAGGATGTACCAGTTTAAACAATCCAAGAATAACTAGAACTGGTCCTAACACCCCACCCCCCTTCACCCCTCGGGCTGAGCCTACGTCCTACGAGAGACTGCACCCTACATGCCATGGTTTCAGAAGTGTTAAAATTTTGCAGTAGCCACGTCAGATGGTTCTTTAAACAGCATCTGCTTGATGGTAAGATGCAATGTTGCTGCAGAAAACCAGTGTGCCTCTCCTTGTCGGCTGTCAACGCTGACAGCTAGAGTAAATTCATTTAGTACTTGGAGTCCTAGAACGCTAGAATATATACAGTCACTCAGAACAGCGAGTAAAGCACAACGTGTACCTGTCTATCCGCCAACATATACATAGCAAAACACAACCTGACTACCCTGTAACTTAGACCATTGCTTTAATAGGTTAAGAAGCATGAATTAAAGTCCAGTCACAGTCTGTCTGGGGCCGACTTTTACTTGAACCTTTAACAACCTTTAATTTTATTGCTTAGTAGCTAGCATTTTTTAAATTTTGAATTCAGTGAGCAGATTTTTGTGCTTGTTGGAATCTCAGTCATGTCGTTATTTATGTAAATCGGTCCTTGGATTTGATATTAGTTTTTTTCCCTCTCAATTAATGGTTAAGATATATTATATTAGAACATTGGTCTGCTTGATTTGTATATTTTAGCACACTTTGTAACACATTTTGTCATATGTTGTTCATAGTTAAGAAATATTGGGTCACTATGACTTTTTGCAGACTGGCTTAGACCCAGAATGGTTGGGTCCCCCTTGAGCCCGCAGGATGCAACAGCCCAGCTGACTGCCTTTAAGTCTTATGTTCAGCTGATTGCGGACACAACACCAGGAAGTAAGAAAAATTAACCTTTGATTGTATGCATGTGGGTTAATGATAAAGTATTGTGTGCCACGCTGACTATTACAGGTGATGAAGATACTCTACAAACAACCATCTATCAGCCTGACTGAATGCTGGTCATCATTTGTTTTACTCTTCTAATCCCTTCTTGAGGAGGTGGGGTCAGGTCTGTCTAAAATAACCTCATTCTTTCCTTTGTTGGCTCCCTCAAAACACCAACTCTAAAAATTTATGCTTGGGTTTGGTGGAAAGCCAGAGAGATACTGGAAAAGAACAAACAAACTATTTGTAAAGGGTTAAGAAATGGGCACCCAAGCCTATCTAACATTCTGCCCTTCATGGTCTCCCTCCGTTATTGCATCAATTCATTTATTCAAAAGATACCAAATGAGGCCATGCCCATCAAACTTTGGTGCACTACAGATACAGCATGCAGAGCAATGTGGTACCTCTTTGGTTTTCCAAAAATGGTATAGAATATGGATCTGTCAAGTACACACCTACCTCCGAGTCAGTGCCGACACACAACATCCATTGCACTGTGAAATCAGGAAAAGAAAAGGCAGCAGATTAAAGAGAGGAAAATCATGGATGGATCAGGCAGAGGATATTATACACAAGGTTTGTCTACTTGGGGAGGAATGGGTATGTGTACCACCAGTGTCATAAATCCTTTGATGTATGCTTCAAGCTGAACAGAAATGCAGGCAACAAAACCCAGTAGTTGTGGAAGTGCAGGCCTTTAAATGTGAGAATTCTTGTGAGGTTGATGCGATCATCTACAAAGATGAGCCTGTCGTTGGAAATGTCAGTAACTCATGGGCATTTACCGCTCTGGTAAGGAGGGAGAACTGTCAGACAAGACTGCAGTGCTTTCGTCTTGACGACAAGCAGTATGCTTGTGAGGTCATGGCAGCAGCTAAAGCAGTAGTCTGGCTAGAAGCACAGACTTTCACCCAGGCATACTTTTTACAAATCTAGTATAAATTAAGTATTGATCACATGTCACTATGGCAGTATTTGTATATGTTCCACAATAATATTAAATTTACAACATTAAATGTAACTTTTTATAAACAGTTGTTGAGAAAAAGTTGAAAGCTACACAGGAACTTAGTGAAAATTTTGAGGTAAGCATACAGGATACGTGTCTTAAGTTGCTTTTTAATTTATTACATCAGCTGTGATCTTTAAATAGTGAACAACTTTTTTGAAGTTCTTTTCAATGTGATTGGTTTATTGCCTGTGATCCTAACCAACATATCATGTGTTATTTTACTCTCTTTGTATACTGAAGAAATTGTCTCTCTTTAATGGTCACTCTTACTGTGTATTGATTTAGCCTTGGAAGTCACGAACTCCTGGTTTTTTTTTTTTTTTATTGCAGTTATTTCCCGACTTTAAAATACAGAACCTCGTGGGGCTAGAAGAGTTACAATACTTTGGAAAAGAATTATTGACATGATTGCTGTATTAGCAGTTATGTAGTAAATTACTTTTCTACTTTCACATATAAATTTAATTACTTCAGTATGTGTGTATGTTTTTTTTTTTATCTAAAAAAAAAAGACCTTTATATTGAAGTAAATAGTAATCATATTGTGTAATGTTATAGATAAAATTAATATATGGGGGAAACTAACATATTCTTGTTAATTTGGCTATGCATTTTGTTTAGCCTCACCCCCACACATCTTATATACGAAATGTCTTCTGCAATTTTTCTCGGCTAATGTGTGTTGCAAAGTTTATAAGGGGCAAATATCTTACCTTTAGCAAAGGACTTTTGTATGTATGTGTATCTATATAAGATAGTATGGGGAAGTGGAAGTAAGAGTTATGCTATTTCTGTAATAAATTCTTTGTTGTGCAGTGTGTATGATTTTGGAGTAAATTGTAACATTTGTTGACATTTATTCTTTTCCTCCCACTATCTTCAGAGTGTCGTATCACTGCCGCAGTACCCTCAGTTTTTAGCTGAACTTTTGAGGGTGTTCCTAAAGATACTTGATGAAGGAGAACCACAATTTATTGCAGAGCAGAACATCCAGGTATAGTGAATATATAGTTGATTGATAAAGATATGTGGCTGTTTCAAGACCTCTTCAGTCTAAAACGTTGGCTAACAATTTTATATTGATGTGGAATAGACCAGAGATTTACATCCCAATTGTGGCTTAAGCAGACCTGTTAAATCTTAGTTTTAATTGTTTAGATTTTTAAAATTATGAGAAGTAATGGTGTGTGAGTCAGCTCTGTGGCTAAGTCGATGCAAACGCTTCGTAATGCCAGGATGCTGGGTTCAATCCCAGCTGCGGGCCATGAGCCTTGAGTTGGTTTCGACAGTGGTATCAAGAAAGCCGACCGTCCAGAAAGCAATGGTAAACTACTGGACGTAAATTTGCCTAGAAAAACCCCACAACAGCCAGGGGCTGTTAGGGTTGGTTCTGCAGCGTCCTGTAAAGGATACGCAACTAACCTAATGGTGTGTAGCAACCCCTGTGCCTTCCTGAAGTTGTGGAACAAGTGTCTCTCCTTTCAGAAAGGTGACCAATGTGAGGATTCATCTGCTTATTATATGAATTAAACAACAAGAACTATTCCAGAAACCTGTAAAGCTATCATGGAGTTTAATTTGTGCAGCGTTTTAATGTGTTTAATGTGTTTTAATGTGTAAACCTGCAGACTGCTTACATAAGACATCTTAAAAATCGAAACATTAAAAAAAGATTGTGAGATTAGTTTATTGAATGTCCCTAGCACAACTTTTCTGCTCATTAACCTCCCATTATAGCACAGTCCCTCAACCAACTCTCTCTTTCTATTGACCTATTCTTTGTTATTGCATGCAACTCACTCCATGTGTGTTCTTGGGCTGCCTGATTTTCTGTGCTTTTATGTGTTCTGTTGCAAAGCCATTCTTTTTTTTTTTTTTTTTTTTTGTTCTCACGTTTTCTTAATGTGTGTCCTAGCCAATGCCACTAATGTTACCAAGTAAGAAATATGTGCTTTCTGTATTCACTGCCATCAAAACCCTCCTCCTCCCCTAAGATATACAAAAATGTGAAGCTTGCATGTTGCCCCAGATTACAATGGGTGTCAAAATATGTACTACTCAACAAGTGGCTTTCCTTTGTATAAACCTTGTGTCCAGTATGCCTAAATAAAATGGAAAGCAATCTTTTTCTCTTTCACTGACCTTCTTTACCTAATGGGAATGTTTCTTATAACCATTATGAAACATTGCTTCCTTCTTTTGAGCGCTCACCGGGTTTAAAAACTTTGGCAGAAATTTCTGGTTTGCCTATTTCTGGACTTGTGATCTTGTTCAAGATTTTTGCGTGTACATCCTTTTAGAGAGCTGTATTATTTGTGTGCACACTGTTAGTTGCCTGTCACTTGGAGATACCCTGACTTTGAAGGAAATACCCATAATTAGTCGCTTATTACAGCATACTTGGGGAGGGGGTGGGAGAAAGGGGCTACCTCAACAAAGTGTCCCGGAAAAAGCACTGCTTCAAAAATGTGTTGCCGTCTTTCTTCTACTAATCGACTAAGAGTAATTGTATGCTGATAAAATATATTTAGCCTGCAAAAAGTAGAATGATTAGTTACATGCTAATTACTGCTTATTTTTTATATTTTTTTTTTTTTAGTAATAATTTATTTTGTTCTGAATAAATGTAAATTAAGTAATTCATTAAAACTATTTCTTGTTTTCCAATTTAGCAATTAAGAAAGCTGCTTCTTGAAATAATTCACCGCATACCATGCAATGATCACCTGAAGAAATATGTTCCCCAGATATTGTCGCTTATGTTCAGGCTTTTGAAGGTATGTATAATCTATGTTGTGAAAACGAACCTTTGTGTTTATTGTACATATAATGTTCCCTGTGATTGTATGAAAGTTAGATAAAAATTTGTTCTTAGTTGATTACATCCATTAGTTTCTTTTTCTGCGTTCTTCTGAAGATGTAAATGCATTGTGTCTGTTTATATCATTAGCCAGTTATTAGCATACTAACTCAAAAACTTTGCAGCTAGTTTTGTGGGACGTTGCTTCTCAGAGTTATGATGTTATCTTCATTTCCTAGTTCACATGTGGTATTTGTTTCATATGTATGGAACTGCTGTATTGATTTTAAGCTTGTTGCAGTTATGAATAGGCATGTAATGTTTGTTAGAAAATCCAGCAGTGTTCTTTTGTTTTAAATTAAGAAATAAAATATTCAATATTTGAAAGTTATTGATATAAACGTGTGAGTTGGTAAAGGGAAACATGATGTCATACTACTGTATATTTGTATTCCTCAGATTGAGAATGAAGAGAATGTACTTGTGTGCATCCGCATCATTCTTGAATTGCACAAGCAGTATAGGCCACAAATGAATGAAGAGGTGAGTACCATTCCCTTTTATAAATTTGCACGTTTTTATGTAAAGTCTTCATACATGAAACCTACGCCATGAAGCATTTGGGAAACCTATTTACATTACACGTTGATTCATTTTCCCTGAGAAATTCTACGAGATCTGATGATTTGCAAAATTGCAAAGGTAGAATTAGGCAAGGTAGATTTCTATTTGATTAATTGGGTATGAAAAAAAAGATTTTTGACAAGGTGCAGTGAACAATTGTTCTCAGTTTTGTTGTTGTTGACAGTTTGAAGTAGAAAAGCCAGTCGTTAAAATGATTATCTGTGAGAATGAGATGATGAACATAGTGTTCATAGAAGCAAATAGCAAGCCAAGTCCCAGTCATAAAAGAGACAGTAAATTTACTTGTTGAAGATGATGTGGAATAGAGAAGTTACTTTTGTGGAGGGGGGGGGGGGGGGTTACTATACGGTTCTTCCTATAGTCTGTGCCATGTAATGATGGTCTGTCCATAGCCCTCTGTCTTGTCAGTTCTGACAGGTTATCACACATACCATGATGCAGGTTATCATACAGATCATGGTGTCAAACTGTCCAGCATTTTCACTCTTATTCTTTCCCTTCCTCTTTTTCCCCCTTCAACCTCTCCACTATCATAAGGTACTTCAGTTTTCACCTCCTCATGACATGACAAACAATTTTGATTGTTTTTCTTCTGATATGGGAGATCAGTTCTGTTTATGAGTCATTTTCTTTCAAGACATTTTTATCTGTCCAGTGTGTCCTCATCATTTGTCTATAAAAACCACATCTCTAATCGCATGATGTCTATGATTCACATATATTCCCTGTGTCAGTTCCAGGGCCCCATTGTAGGGAAAAACAAGAAGCGCCCCCTGCCTTCCCAACAAGCATGTCATATGAGTCCACTAATTGGGGGTTTCCTTCAAAGTTGGAGTTCATCTGCTTGAGAGGCAATAACCAACAATCGGCATACAAATAAGTCAGATGTGCACACAAGACTTAGGTTCTGAATCAAGACTAAAGTCCACTAGGTGGACGAACGATGGAACTTTCCACCAGAGTTTACAGCCGGTGAACATGAAGAAGAAGAGTTCCATATATAAGGATATGATTAATGTAGCTCTTGAGAATTCTAGACAACAGTGCCAGAAAGAAAAGAGTGAACATTGTGTATAGAAACAGCTGGACTGTAAATTATAATATGACTGCCATCTTCATCAAAATATCAAATGTATGAGAGTTTGGAGAGTGATGGTTGCCAGTGTCTCCTCCAGAGCAGGCACGTGAAGAAGGTAAAGATCACAGAAATTGTTATCTTAGCAGTTTCACATGACATCATCACCGTCTCTTTGGTAAAATATGGAGTATGGTTTTATATGTATGTAAACACTTTATTTTACAGATTGCTGACTTCATGAAGTTTGTGAAAGGGATTTACGGCAATCTGCCAAGCCACCTACCTAGGATATTTGAACCACGCTCACAAAAGAAAGTTAAAGACCTGTCAGATATAAATGTTGAGGTTTGGCTTCAAGACATTTTCACAGTAACTACAGTGTTAACAGACAAGAAGAATGCAGAAAACCAGAGTGTACAGGTTTGTAGCAGAGATAAATTAAATGTGTATCTTTACAACATATACTTTAATTACGCAGATGCTCATCTGACAGTATTGGGTTTACCTCCTCCTCAAGCAGATTTTTCTTCTTCAGAATTGACCTTGGCTCCCAAGTTGACCCTGCGTTAAAATTGGTACCAGGTATTGTCCTAGAAAGTAAAGATGACTGGCAATCATGTTGACCCGATAAGTTTATAAGCGTGTAAGTCTAGCTTCATGTGTTAGATGTGCCACTGTAGTCAGAACATCCCATATTTTATTTAGACATCATTGACAGAAACCACTGTAGAGACAATGTTTTTATGTTTCCTTCTGGTGAGGGCTAGGGTTGGCTATATACATGTTGTGCAACAGTTCTCATTTCTAAATTAATCTCTCTAGGTGTTAAAAGTTCTCACATTTTATTTAAAATGTTTTTTGGTCATTCGTGTTTTACTTATCATCTGCTGTTGCACATCCAAGATAGGGGAAACTTGTCACTTGGTCAAAACTGGTTTATTTTGATATTGCCTATTTCAGCTTCTTGCAGTCCTTGATTAGCATTTTTCAATTCTTCTTTGTTCGTGGCTGTAAGCTCCGGTGGAAATTCCTGATTGTTCGTCCATTTGGACTTTGGCTTTGTTCTACGGCCTGAGTTTTGCATGCATCTGTTTTATTTGCTTCTTTGTGTTCTTCGGTTGTTCCTTGTCGCTCTGGCAGATACAGTCCAACTTCGAAGGAAACCCCAATTAGTCAACTCCTTCGACATGCATGTTTGGAATGAGGAAGGTCTGTTCTTGTTTTCCCTAGCAATGGGGCCCTGAAACCCACACGGGGATATTTTTAAGTTGTTTTGCTTGGCATTTAAATCAATTTTTCATTTTCTTATACTGACTTTTTTACCTTTTATGTTACAGTACAATATCATCCCTATGGGTGTTCAGAGCCTGAAGGTGCTTGCGGAGCTGCCCATTATTGTAGTTCTGATGTATCAAATGTATAAACAGCAGGTCCAGAATGACATGGTGGAGTTCATCCCACTCATCATGAACACAATAACCCTACAACCATCAGCACAACACAGGTCAGTGGTGTTCAAAAGCATTATTGTGTTTGTGTGAGTAAGAATTGTTACATTTTGTCAATGTGAAAGTATACACCCACTGTTGTTGCTTCTTTTATCTCAAAATATTCACTTTTGATTACTTTTTATGCAGAAATATACAATAATAGGTTTCCTTATTTATAGGCATTCTTCCATTCGCTTATTTTGGATTGTTTTGTTTTGTTATTGAAGTGCATATTTGTGTTGATCTAAGGCAGCCTATGAGCCAGATTTGTTTCATAGAGGCCTAGCAAATAACCGGCGGATTACCTGCCATATATATTTTATTATGGTTTTTCTATGCCATGACTGGTGCCTCTGACCCTCAGCAATCCCCATTTTTCAACATTTTGGTACCTTTTTTATGAAAACAATTAAATTTATGGGTTTTGATGTCTGACAGAGCAAATCCAGCATTCAACAAGGAGGTTTTTGTGGATTTTATTGCTGCCCAGATAAAGACACTTTCTTTCCTGGCATACATCATAAAAATTTATCAGGTGAGTACCATTGTGTGTTGTTCAGGGAATTTGGTTTGAGTTTCATAGTCCCATTTTTGGGTAAAAAAAGAATAGATGTACTGCCCCCCAACAAGCATGTTGTAAAAGGCAACTACCTAAGGGTGTTTCCTTCAAAGACGGGGTGTACCTGCCAGAGAGATGAGGGACCAGCGGTCTGCATACAGATAAGCCAGATCTGTAAAACAGATGTGTATGCAGAACTATTGATGGAGCAAGACCTAAGTCCGAAAGTGGATGAACAGCCAGAGTTTGCCGCCAGGGAGCACTAAGAAGAAGGGGAACCATGGGGTGTTCATGGTTTGCAGTTGAAGGGTTGGTAAAGATTTAGGATGGGTCTAAAGCTGTTTTCCTTAATCGTTTTTCATCCCCTGCCCACCAAAACAGTGGAAATTAATAGCTTAACAAACACAGAAACAAACATAAATGTAGATAGCAGTCTGTTTATTCAATCTGATGACACAAAGGTACATTTTTTGGTTATTGCGACAACTGCTTAGAAGTGGAGAAAATCTACAGTAACATCCATTAGATGTCTCTGTTTAGTTTTTATTGTTGGAATGCCAGAGAAGGTCTTTTCACACAAATAGGAAATCCTTGAGGTGTTGATCCTGCAGACTGGAAGAGAAAAACCACCTACCCTACCTCGTTGCATGATTAGGCAGGACATTTTGATGGCCCACTGGTTGAAGAACACTGGTCTAAGACCAGGTGCATGTGGAAATCAAGGGGAAACTACCACATCATGCACCTGGAGAAACTGATCATGGCAACCACTAAAGTAATTACAAAACACATTTTTGCGAATTTAAGAATGGATTAGACTTTTGTTTCTCTGAAACTGAAATTCTTCTACAGTATGAAATGTCAGTGTTTTGGAGAGAATAGTAATGCAGGCTATGGTTTCTAGATGAAGAGGTAAGGATTGACCAGCATGGCCTGGTCATGAAAGTTCACAAGTTTGGAAAGTTGACCAGGAATTAAATGGCTTTCTTGGTGAAAGTGTGTTCTCAGGGGGATCTAATAGATTGTGGTGCAGGTGCTTACATGAATGTTTCTTTTTCTACTTCCTTTAGGGAGCTGTTAATAACCATTCGCAGCAAATGGTCCAGGGTCTTCTGGGGTTGATGACATTGTGTCCGCAAGAAGTGGCTCATCTGCGAAAAGAACTGTTGATGGCTGCCAGACATATTTTGTCAACAGATCTTAGAAATAGTAAGTTTTAATTTAGAGCAGTGGTTGCAAGTTAGCGAAGACTTGCAGATCCTTTTATTTGTGATCTGTAATGGGCCCTATTCCTTTTTAACAGTCATACTGAATGGTTGCAAGTCAGCTAAGACTGGCAGATTTCTCTTATTTGTGATGGGCCCTATTCCTTTTTAACAGTAACACTGAATAACTTACTGACATATCATCAGCGCTGCACAGACTGGGTTAGTGGATAATGAGGAATCTCTGACACTACCACAGTTGCGTGGCATGGGAGTGAAGCATGGTGACGCATGTCAATGCCGCCTCCGAGGCTGAAATAGGAGACATTATAACTAACTTCTTATGGTAACAATGAGTAGAAGTACCTTGGAGTGGCTGCTGTATCGTAGGACTGAGCACGCATGGGATTACCCAATTAGCAGTGATGTCGATTGTGACAACATAACTTACTATAATTTATAGATAATAAATCCCCCACCCCCTCTCCCCCAAGGATACCATTCTGTTGTGGAGTTTTATGTTGTAAATGTTATTAAGGGCTCCTTGGAGTTGTGTTTTTTTGGCAAAACATCAAATAGGGGAAAACTGGCTTCACACAGGGCATATGTTTCAGGGCTGTGAGTGTTCTATCATCATCATTTGTTAGTAACAGCTAAACAAACATCTGTTAGGTTGAAAAAAAAAACAGAGAAGGAAATTAAAGTACAGTATTTCAAAATATAAGAGCAAGAGTAATTGTATAACTTGTTTTTACATGTGTGAAGAAAAAGCAGCTGGATATACTTTCCTTTTCCTATTTGTAATATTCAACAGTCTGTGCCATAAATAAAATGGTTATATACAATCTGTAAGTGGACTTCATTATGTCTGCCCTCTTTCTGTCTCCTTTTCTTCTCTTATTGTAGTCAGAAGTTGCCAGTATGCCACAGCTTGTTGAATACATTTTAGAGTTTCATTTATAATTAGTAGTCAATAGTAATGTAAAGGGAAAAAAAAGAATTTGTAAATGCATAACTGGGATCAGTAAGTTCTATGCAGTTTTGAGAGCTATGTTAACACGAAATTCAGTGTCAAGAATTTATTTCTGTTTTAAAATAATTTATAAAGTTGAAGTGCATTTTGCATCATACTACAGATTTAATGCTGGCATATCTGTTCTGTACAAAAATCATAGCAAAACTAAAAATGGAATAGAATGGGAGCCTGCTGAGGATGACAGCTTTATGACTGTCTTTCCATGTGGTTTTTAGAGAATTTGAATATTTTATGAAATTAACCTGCAGGCTGTAATAGCTATGTGTTTGAATACCCAAGACGGGTTGTTTAAAAAATGACCAGCCTAAAATAGATACTATGAATGTTAGGATGTAACAGTGTCTGGCTTATTGACCACTGTTTTCCCTCTGTGGGTGCTGGGTCCCCATTGTGGGGAAAACAAGACCCTCCCTCTTATTCTCTCCCCTCTCCCCCCCCCCCAATAAGCATGTCGTAAGAGTTGACTAACCGGGTACTTCCGTCGGAGTACATCTGCCCAAGCGGCAAGGAACAACCATCCAGACACAAGCCAGTAAAAAGGATGTACGCGGAAAATTAAGGTTCTGGCACAAAGCCAAAATTTAAATGGACAACATCCAGGACTTTCCACCAGATCTGACAGCCGGTAAACAAAGAAGAAAAAGACCACTGTGTTTGGCTTAAGTTGACCACAATACCCATCAAGTGTTTCTTCTGCATTAACCCTTAAAAATATGGTTGATCATGATGATGATCAAGTCGTTAAAAGGGTAGCTTACTGTTATACTTACTCTCAAACATACACTCCAGTTAGAAATGCCCTAGTTTACAGTATGTATGGTTCACTAACTTATTAGTAAAGGATATCACATGTTATATTGTCTTAGTGCATACTATTTTAATTTTTTAAATTTCAGGATTTGTTCCTGTCATAGAAAATTTGTTTGATGAAAACATATTGATTGGCTCAGGCTGGACAACTCATGAATCACTGAGGTAAATATTTATGCTTTAAATCAGTCTTGTGGCTCCTCAGATCCTTTTATCAAACAGAAGTTTCAACATTTTTTTTTAAGGGATGAGTTGCAATATTCACATTGGGTCATTGCACTATGTTGTACTGCGTATGGCTTAATCTCTCTCCACACAATTGTTCAAACTCCATAGCTTAAATGGATCTTCCAAAAATTTCACTGATAAACAGAATGACGCAGTCAGTAAAATGAACCTTTAGAACGCAAGGCAGATGGCTTAGCCACTTAAATTTGGAAGCCTAATATATCAGATTTGTAGATAGCAGTTGAACAGTTGTTTGCAGTTTATAAGCCTTAACCAATTTATAATATTATTTTGATGAAATATTTGTTAATAATAATCATACCTGTAAAATGTTTTTTCAGACCTCTGGCATATAGCACTCTGGCAGACCTGGTGCACCATGTTCGCAACAATCTGTCTCTGCGTGACCTGTCCCTGGCAGTCAATCTGTTTTCCAAGAATGTGCATGACGATTCTCTGCCCAGCAGCATCCAGACGATGTCCTGCAAGTTGCTGCTGAATTTAGTTGACTGCATTCGTACTAAGAGTGATCAAGAAAATGGAAATGTATGTGTTATTGAATCTGAGTATATTGTGATAAGAATCATCATACCACTGTGAATTTACATTTTGTTGTCCTTCTCTTCCCCTTTTTATCATATGAGCAGCAAGTATGGTTTACCGTTGGCTTGCCGCAATTTTACGTCACACCGCGGAATTAGCCTACATGGCACCGAAAATACAAATTTGGCAGTAGGCGACTGGAATTAACCCTCATTATGGCTGCCAAGAAATTAAAGAGTTAGTGACAGTGGTGTTAAGAAGCCTAGCATATTGTGTATGCAAATAAAGAATGAAAAATTAACTAAACATGAGAGTTGTCTTAATATTTAGGATCCCCTGGTCACTCCTTACTGCACCATTCTCTTCAGAACATGATGTAGATCTGTTTGTGCCTTAATACTGTCTGCTCGCTCCTAAAGGACACTTACAGTATCTAGCTTGTCGTGCATCAGTTGATCACTAAGTGGTGCAGAACTAATACGTTTTTTCCTGTTTCTTAAAAAAAAATTTTCTCTGTGTACCACAATGTTTTATTTTGTGCACTTTAAAAACACTTCTTTGTATGTATGTATGTGTGCGTGTATATACATATAATTCCAGCAACCATCTGATTGTATGTCCGTCTCATCCTTC